CACTAATTTCATGAAAAGCAAAAACTTGAAACATAATTTTCTTTCATCAGATAATAAAAACAGCCAAGAGTTGCTAAACTCTCACGTGCTTTCATGACTAAAAGAATAACTATAAGAAAGCAAGGATTGGCCACCAATAAAACCTCAAGCTTTCATGCACACTTAACCTTATCACAGCCCCCGAATGCTGACTGCCAATGCAGATGTCGTCATATTAGTCCTTTTCCTATAACCCCTTGGGGCTAAGCGTGCCATATTCAAAATAAACAAAAACACACGCATGACGCAACCAACAATTAATTTACATTAATTTCTTGAAACTAGATAATTATAAACCCTAATTCTATTCCACCGAAAGCAATCAATTCAAAGAAAAACACTCAAGACAATTTATGGAGGTTCGTTTCAATGTGAGACTATTTCCTCTCTCGCTCTTACAGTAATTTACTATGATGAAAAATGTTTACAAAAGAAAATTTCACTCATATCTTCTCTAACCTCTCTCTCTCTCTCTCTCTTTTTTTTATGATAATTATAAAGCCTAAGAATGGCTCCCTATTTACAAGATAAATTAGGACAAACCCGAATTTTACAAGGACTTCAAATTCTTAATGTAATTTTAAAAGAATAAAAAGTCCTAAAAAGTCCTTAGATTAAGTTTTAGTCCAAGGGCTCCACCCCCTCACCCCTGGGAGGGAGCCACTTGCCCATCTTCCAACCCCCACGATGACTTCATTGTGGAGGTCGATCCACAACCAGTTCTACGAAATGACAAATAATTAGAATCAGCAATAATTAGGCTCCACAACTTAACACTTGAAATATAGATTTCCTTTCATCAAATCATAAAAACAGTTAAGAGTACCTCAATTCTCAAGCGCCTTAATAACTAAAAGAAAAACCAAAACACAAGCAACATTAGCCAACAACAAAACTGCAACTTTTAATGCATGCCTAACCACACCCCCAAAATGCCAACTGACTTCTGTCAACATGGATGTCATCATTTAAGTACTTTTCCTCATCCATGGGAACTAAGCTTTCCATATCCAAAGTAAACAAACACATGCATACACATCTTCCACAAATTTACTAGAAATTTAATCCTTTGTCTATTAGAAACGTCTCTGAGACTAAACCTAATCAAACATATAAATTTACAGAGAAGTACATTGAATCCGAACTTAATAATAAATTATCCTGCAAAGATAATCAGAAGCTGGCCTGTTTCTAATGAATTTCCTAGATATGAAACTCGTGATGCAATAATGGATAGTAAACCTCGAAGCATCACAACTTGATAAACAAAATTGCCAAAATTATTGATGTAGAAACACAAAAGATCATGAACTTATACCATCAGAAGATCCAGATTGATTGGCCAGCTTGATCTTCTCGAGCTGGACAAGAGTAACCGTCAACAATTGCCTCCTTTGAACCTCCAAGTCCTTAATAAAATGAATCCTCTGCTTCTCCAATTCCACCATTTGCTTTGGTTTCATAACCTCCATCCTCTCATATCTCTCCCCAAACCTCTCTATCGCCTTCAACAATCTTCTTAGCCCCTCGTCTCCTTCCTCCTCTTCCCTCCCATTCTCCTGCTATATCACCTCAATTTCATCACAATCAGAGCCTCCATCCTCTACATCCACCTCAGCCATTGGCGTAGCAGCAGAATTGGTTTTCTCTGGATCCACCTCGGCCTCCGCTGCAGCAGTCGCAGAATAGTTCTTCAAATTTGCCTCACCCAGCGTCAACACCGGCAACGGACGCTTCTGGGGAAATACCACCAGAGTAAAGATGGAGGACGACGGCACATACTGATTTGATGTCAATGGCACAACCAATGAAGGCAATGAAACTGACACTACTATCATCTCCATTGACAGCAGTCGAGTCGCCACTGGCCTCGCCCTCACCCGCTGTTTACTAGAATCAGCTCCGACAAACACCTCAAAACGCGAGAAAAAAGGCCAGGGCGATGTAATCATCCCGTTACTCTCCGCAACCTTCGCCTTCTCAGCCTTGAGCTTCTTCTTCACCGTATCAATCCGGTCTTTGCACTGCACTTCAGTTCGAAACGTCTTGTTCGTCTGTCCATGAGGCCTGTTAACCACCGCAGCCACTTCCTCCCAGTCCTTGGACTGAAAGTTACCCCGATTAACATGTAAATACCTCGATCCCCATGCATCAATTAACGTCAATGTGTTCTCTTCCGACCAAGCCCGCTGCTTCTGCTGCCAGTTGATTCACGGCCATATGAAAAAATTCCGCCCTGATCTGTAAAGCGTCCACTGTTATCTGAAACCACAATTGTGAGAGAAGCAAAAGTGATGAGTTGAATTATTGCAGTGTTGACAATTAGAGATAGCGGCAAGGGGACGCTTTGTGAGGGAATTGAATGCACGGGGGAAAAGGAAGGGGATAGAGTGACAATTGTGAAGAGAGGGCATAGTCCCGGCGTGGCTTGTGAGAACGTGTTCAATGGTGGTATTGATATCTGGTTGTTTTCTCCGCTCCTTGAATTTTGATGATTTCAGTATTTGTACTTTCTGCTCTAAGATATTAAGGCTGTGTTTGGAAGGAACAAAAAGGCATAGATATGAGATTATGTTACTCCGCCAGTCTCTCCATACCAAGCAATTACTTATAAGTTGACAAGAATAAAAGGTAAATTTGTATTAAAATATCTCCCCCTATTTAAATATAAATTTTCTCTAAAGGATTATCGAAATTTATATTTGAAGGTTTTTCAGTTTTCACCACCTTCTTCTTCCATGCATGTTACTTCTCGTGAAATTTATATTTGGATTACCAGTTGGATTCTCAATATCGTGCTATTCATACAATATCTTTATAATATATCTAAAAATCACATATTAAATTTTCATAGTTTTTTTAACAAAACTTATCCGCTTAATGAATTGTTCAAACTCATGTTACCAACTACTCTCGATTACACGTTGCATTGCATAAGAAATGCCATAACTTTTCCTAACAATCTTCAAATGACATGATTCGAAAGCCTATGGACAAATGACTCATGGAGCTATCCAATTCCATTGATTTTGTCCAAAAGCTCAGAGAATTTTGTCTGGGATGGCGAGATAAAATTTGGACAAAAAGCTAAAATTTTATTCTTTACAAGCTCAATGTTTAGCCTTGACTTTTTTAGATTAAAATTACAATAGTCACATTAAGAAAAATAACTAGACAATCTTTAAAAGGGTAAAGATAAACTAACATCTTTCAGAAATTAAAATAACAAGTAGGGACTAGAAATTCTTCGAATGTGACTAACTACACAAACGAAACACCTTCCTCCTTCGAAGCCTCCGCAATCCATGTGAATTCAACTTCTTCGATCATCCTTTAATCTGAAAAATTGTCAATAAAGAAGGTGTGAATTTTAAGCTCAATAGGACTTATATAACTTGGTACATCATTTTGATACATATACACATATATACAAAGTGATATAAAAGAATTTAACATTTCACGTAGATAAATACCAACAAATTCATTATTTTGAAGAATCCTTTGAAATTGTAGACATTGGTTATGAACATACATAAACCTCGCGGTTCGTAACTTTAAGAATATATCTACAATTTTATCTACTTTTATTAAAAAATTTTTACACATTTTATCAACTTTTATTAAATTTTTTGTCAAACAATCCCACGAGACAAATATTTAGACTGTTTTCATGATTAAAGACAGGCAGTGCAACTATAATAAAATATCCAGAATCAACTTGTTCCTTTTTAAAGTTTCAGGATCAATTTGCTAGAGACAATAGGTTGAGGACCAATGTTGAAATTTTCCAGAAAAATAAGGAATGAACGTAGTTTGTGGAGGGTGGTCGTGTATGGTGGTTGTGTAAAGGGTGTAGGAGAGAGAGTGAAAGAAGCAGAAACAAATAACTAATTTTAGATAGAGAAAACAAGAGAGAGAGATTTTTTTTTTCTTTTCCCTTTCTCCTCGTTCAGAGTATGATGGTCGAAGAGAGTTTTCACCTCTGAGATCATCCTGGAAAAGGGCAGTCGAGAAAATCACACACAAATTCTTTGCCTTTCAATTTTTACCTTCTATTATTTTTTTAATTCAAGCTGCCATTTTGAGTGTCACAACAAATTCATTTAATTATAATCTGCCACCTTTTCTATTTAATGCATTTCTTGAAAAAATTCTTCAGAAAAAAAGAATTTTGGAAAAGGGATTCAAATTACAGGCAGCTAATGAATTCGTTGTATCATCATCAACTGCCCTTTTTCCCTCCTCTTCAGGTGAGCTTTTACTCTGCAACTTTATAAATTTTATGCACTTTTTTTTTTTTTTTCTTTTTCATTTTATAGATTGCTTGTTCTTATTGTTATTCTCTTTTGATATATTCTTTTTTGCTACGATTCTGATTAGGCTTATGGGATAACCTTTTGTGCTACGTTATTCAGAACGAGGATTGATAATTTTGTGACATTTCGTACATTTTTCAGCCAAAAATTAAATCTTGGAGATAATTCATTGAGCCAGTTTATGCGCATGTTCGTGAAAACGGAGGTGTTGTAGGCCTAATTTAAATAATATTTGAAGATGAGAGACCCCAATTCGGCCGCTACGTTGAAGAATGATAATATAGATTTTTCTGTTTGTTATATAGTTTGTGCCTTATACTGTGTTTGTAAATCTGCAGTTTTATTGGTTTTGTGAGCCTAAATTGTAGTTGTTCTTGCATTATTTGTGTTGTGTCCGAGTGATTTTATATTGCTCGGAGGGTTATTTTGCACGAGGAAGCTGGTGATTTCGCACGGAACGTTGATCATTCTTGGTTTTGTGAGAAGAAATTGTAGTAGTTGTTGTGTTCCGAGTAATTCTGCATTGCTTGGAGGGTTATTTTGCACAAGAAAACTGGCGATTTTGTATTGCAGCTTGTATAGAGTCCTGGCTGTTGGCAGAAATCAGAACTGCCTGCACTGCTGCGACGAATGGTCTGGCAAGCAATGGGGGGTATATGGACGACTAATCGAATCCAGTTATCATGTTTTTTGCTTTTGATTCTCGTTTTGGAGATTCAAGTGGGCTATTCTCTCAATTCTGAAGGTACTGATGTCTTGTTCGACTTTGAAACCAATTCCTATCCGCCGCATGTGAGGTTTAGAAATGTTGAGCACTTAATGCATGTTTGGTACGCAACATTAGACGGATAGTATAGTAATCAAAATTTTAGCTTATTTTTTTTTCCTAAACACTGTCAAGTACTATCTATGCATCCCTACCAAACATGCCAGTATCATTATTGACTTGATAGAAATGCAAATGCAGGATTAGCTTTGCTGGAATTCCGAGCAAGGGTAGAATGCGATCCGTCTGGAGCTTTAGCAAATTGGAATCCTAATGACTGTGATCCGTGCACTTGGTCGGGTGTTCATTGTCTGAATGGTGAAGTGTATAAGTTGTAAGTACTTATGTCTTATTATCTACTCCAATTCATAAATATAGTATTGTAGATGAATATAAGCAATTTTAGTTGCCTATTTGATGTAATGCCTTCATGCTTAAGTTCCAACAAATCTCTTGAAGTAGCAGAACTTTGATTAGTTTCTTCCCTCCATCCCATCCCATCCTCTAAAACTTATAAGACCACCATACTATTATATTCTTCATGTTTATGGAAGAATGGCTATATTGCTTTATCTTTATATTTTTTACTCTTGTGAATAGGGATCTCAATGGACAGTACTTGCAAGGAATATTGGCTCCCGAGCTTGGAAATCTTACTCATTTAAGATTCCTGTGAGTATCAACTTCTTTATGGACTTTTATATTAATCAATCAAGTCCCTAAACCTCTTTTCTCACTTTTTGATAACAAAGGACTTCAAGATTTTCTATATGTATTGTTTTCAAATTTTTATAATTTGATCTTACTTGGACCATTTTTTACTGATCATAGTAACCTCTCCAAGAACCATTTTTCGGGCACCATCCCTCCTCAGTTTGGGCAGCTTAAGAAACTGGAAGTGCTGGACTTGAGGAATAATAATCTGAATGGATCAGTTCCTGCAGAATTAGGCGGACTACATTCACTGAAACGCTTGTGAGTTTTTTTATCCGCCAACACTAATTTATGCATGCTGCTACAAATAATACTATCTTTGCTAAATTCTCTATTTCGCTCTAGGTTTCTTTGTAACAACAGATTTGAAGGAAGATTTCCTCTTGAGATTAGGAAGCTTAATTCGCTTGCAGATTTACAGTTCGATGAGAATCTTGAAACTGTTACTGCTGCTGGAATTGGCTATGTGAATAGAAAATTTGGGCACTGGTAACATATTACTTACTTCTGTGTATTTCACATGTTAAATTGCCTTTTAAAACTTAAACCACCTATATGCATAAACTCGTGAAGAGATAATTTGTACTAATTGTTCCAAACGACAATTTATACTAATGTCTTACCTCTGGTGAATCTTAATATGTATATGATTATAATTGTAATACATTTGACTTCTTACTCACAGTTTCATCACTCAGAAGAAACATATTTGGATTATAGTCTTCTATACACTTTTTCGTTTAATGTTAATCACGTCTTGTGCAGCACGTGGCAGAGTGGTCAGAGACCATCTACGAAGCAAGATTCATTTCTGATATCAATTAGAGAGATCCTAGTCCATCACTTCAATACGTTCCCTTTGTAAGTAACCAAAGGTTTTTACCATCAAAATAGTCGTGCTAATTTTTCATCTTTTTCTTCATGTTGTTTTATACACGAAAAAATTTGTCTTTTATCAAGGTTTGGAAGCAAATCGTTGCACAATTATGCTGGTATTAGCTGTAGCAATCTACCAAGTAAGCAATGGCATTTTTTCCTTGGGATGAATCCATTGATGGTCATAAAAATTTTAGCACTTAATTTGTTCCATTTGGTCACTCTGTCAGTTTGAATAACAGAAAAAGTGATGTGGGCAGTTGATTTGTTTACCAACTAGATTTCCACCTCATCTTTTCCGTTAGTTAAACTAGAGGACATTAATAGAATGATCAAATTATAATGAACATGCAAGTTCAGTTCTTTAATCAAATAGGGCATGCATTTGTCGAATGATATTTGTTCTTGCATTTTCTAGGTGCTATTGAGCCATATGTCATCGAAAATGTAAAGAACGTGGCAAACAATGCGCGTCGTATACTAGTTGAACAGTCAAGTAACCTTGTTGCTGCCCCTGCCAACATTAGGTCGCCATCAGATCCTATCATTGCTCTTCCAAGCAGCAGGAGTAGCGGATCATTTCCAGCTATACCAAATAGGAAGGGACCACCTCCTGTTCCCATACCATCACCCACTCCACCTCCACAGAACGAGACCCATAACACAACTAATCCTCCTCCTAATTCTTCTGGTGCTGTAAGTAAACCAACTGATAAACCGTCTCATGATGGTGAAAAATTCAAGAATTCGTGGAAGTATATCGTTGGGATTGCAAGTGCAGTTATCCTGCTCATTTTTGTGGTGGCCGTCATTGTCATGTGCAGAAGCAGAGCGGCCCAAAAACTAAGTCCTTGGAAAACTGGATTGAGTGGGCAGTTGCAGAAAGCATTTGTTACAGGTACGCATGCTTGTTGTGGTCCAAAACCTGGTATGAAAAGACCTGTTTGAAGCAGAATTCATTGAGAATTGGTAACAGAAAATATAAAATGCAAGTGCTTTAACTTGCAGGGGTTCCCAAGTTAAACAGAGCCGAGCTGGAAACTTCATGCGAAGATTTCAGCAATATTATTAATACATATGAAAATATAGCGACTGTGTACAAGGGAACTCTGTCCAGTGGAGTAGAGATCGCTGTTGTTACGACTGCTATATCATCTCTGAAAGATTGGTCTAAACATTGTGAATCGACATTCCGGAAGAAGGTTAGTTCATTATTTTGGAACGACTTGAAGGATTATTAAAGTACGAACGTCTCCTGTGAATTCCATTCAAACTTGATAATGTTTCTTTTGCCACTTCAATAGATTGACATGTTGTCGCGAGTGAATCACAAGAACTTCATTAATCTTATTGGATACTGTGAAGAGGACGAACCTTTTACAAGGATGATGGTTTTGGAGTATGCACCAAATGGCACCCTTTACGAGCATTTGCACGGTAGTGTGTTGGTTGTAGAAAGAGCTTGTTTGGTTGTTCTTAAAAGTTACTTTATAGAAAACACTTACTTTCTATAAAGTTAGTTTTGTTAGTTAAAAAAATAACTTTAAAAATTATGTTCAGGAAAATTATAATAAAAATTTGGACTTGATTTTAAGCACAGAGAAATATGAAAAAATTCTTGTGCTCGTCATTTTTGGATACTTGGTGTGTTTTTATGAATTGGATTCTTTGTTCTTTCAGTTAAAGAACTTGAACATCTTGACTGGAATGCAAGGATGAGGATAATCATGGGGACGGCTTATTGCATTCAGTACATGCATGATCTCAATCCACCGCTGGCACATTGCAACTTGACTTCAGAAGTCATATTTTTAACAGATGATTATGCTCCTAAAGTAGGCTTCTTTCTCTTCATCAGTGTTTATGCAATATTTTATATCTTCCCTCTGCTATTTGCATTTACTTGGAAGCTTTTGAGGAACTGCTAATGAGGAGGGGAAGCACTGTGAAAGGGGAACCATTTTTTAACAGGATAATTTGAGAATATAGTGCAAAAAAAGGCATTTTAAACATAATTTTACTATGAGAGGCTTAATTTATTTGACTATTACTAGAGAGTTGTTCTGAAAAAAATTCCCTAAATATTGTCAGTCAATTTTCATGAAAGAAACTATCACTTTTTCAGGTTGCAGAGATTGATTTTTGGAAAGAATTCATGGGCAAGTCAAAGAATCCGGAAAATGACTCCGAGCATTCCCAACTGCCACCACTTGCTGACGGAGAAACAAATGTTTACAGTTTTGGAATACTGTTGCTTGAAATAATCTCCGGAAAGCTACCATACTCCGAAGAGCAAAGGCCTCTCATTAATGGGGTATCTATCCATTGGAATCGCTACTTATTTGTGTTCATTTTTCATTATGGATTAAGTCATACTTCTTATTTACTAGAACAACATAAGAAACGAATATCTAGCAAAATACACAAATAAATAATGGTTCACTATGAAGAAGGAGAAGAAGAAGATTATGTTACTAAGTCGCGCCTAGTTTGTATCTCATGGAAAATGGTCCCCCTAAGAAATATGTAGGAATATAAGGACGACCTAGTACATGAATAGAATGTTTGGTATGCAACTTTTGATGTTTTGCATGACATTTTTGAGTGGATAAGCATACAATATAATTATTCTCCATGTAGTCTGACATTTTTGAAGTTTTGAATAGCATGCCTTTAGTTAGATAATTACTAGCATCTTATATTTCAACTCTATAATCTAAGATTATTTCGATTTTGTTAGGCTTCTGAATACTTGAACGATATGCGGAAGATCAACCATTTGATCGATCCAACCCTGAAGTCCTTCAAAGATAATGAGCTCGATGTTGTGTGTGAAGTAATCCAAAGTTGCATTCAACAAGATCCACGGAAGAGGCCAACGATGAAAGAAATCGTTCAAAAATTCCGGGAAGTCATTGATTTATCGCCTGAGGCAGCAGCGCCAAGACTTTCTCCCCTCTGGTGGGCTGAGCTTGAGATCTTATCACAAGAAGCATCTTAAATTTACTTCAAGGGTGCAAGTCAATTATATCTCATTTTACTTTCTTTTCTTCAACAAAATGCTAAAAGAGATCACAACTATATTTCTTTAATTTGTTGTGTCATTCTCCTCATTAATATTATTTAATGAAAAAAGCTAATTGTACAAAAAAAATTTGACAAAAAAGTTGACAAACCCTCACATGATTGTCGGCCCCACGTGAATAAAAAATTGAAAATAAAAAGTGGGCCCCCCCACATGTGAGGGTTTGTCAACATTTTTGTACAAATTCTTTTGTACAAGTAGTAAGGTTCTATCGCAATTATATCTCTATTTTTTATCACATTGTCACCCTGACCCGGTACAAGTAGTCTCTCTTTTATTTAATTCGTTAATGATATTATCACCTTGGAACAAGTATATATGTAATATGATACTATTTATGTGTTTTTGTGAGAGAGAAAATGGTATGTAAATTGAAGGCAATGTTTGACAAGAGAGTCGGCATGTATATGTTTATATAAATGGTGTTGAATTCCTACATTTTATGTTTTTGTTGTGAATTTGAGGCGAATGAAATGGCTATTTATTTATATATATAAAATTATCTTAAAATGCTGTTCACACATAGTTCGGGTGGGATTTATTCATTAACTTTTATTCATTATCACACTTGTATTTTTAACTTTTTTCCACCACATTCTTATTTTTAACATTTCATTGATCAGAAAATCTTGCCTTTAATCATAGTTTTTCCCCAAAAATATTGTTAACGTGCTTTAAAATGAGGGAAAATTACTTAATTATATTTTTGTATTATTATTTATTTTATTTATTAATAAATACAATGGGTAAATAAGTTTTTTTACTCTATATCTTAAAGAAAATTTGGAGAAAAATCATAATTAGGAATAATTTATGTTAATTCGAGAATAAAAACGCGATGAAAAAAGTTTAATAAGCTTTTATGATAGAAAAATAAATTTGACCATCTTTCAATGTACGCATGTTATTCTCTGAATTATTCAAATGATTGAAAGTCTAATTCATACATTACGTTATCACATATTCCATACTAAAAAATATATAATTTCTTAAATAAGATTCACTTTTGAGATGCATTTATTTTGAAAATGATAAATGTTCAAGATTCAATCTTGCACTAAAGAATGTAAGGTTACAAGTCTCTTTAAAAGATAAGGGCATAACATTAACAATGCTTGTTGAATAAATAATTGGAGTATTAAATTCAATATTCTTTGTCGCTATTTAATTAATGTGTAGTATTTATTTACGTCTAGGTCCGGTTATTTAATTAATTTTGAATAATTTTGAAAGTAGATATTGCAAACTTGCATTTGATGAAATGCTGGGTCAACTGTTGGCTCGAATCCTTCCTTAACTTTGATGCCCGCATTAAAGAAGGAAAGAGAAGTGAGTTTGTACCCTAAAATAATTGAATAGACTTGAATATACATCAAGAAATAAATTTGAATATAAAATCTAAAATGAAGCATTCTCAATGACAAAATGGAACTATTGAAATATTAAATACGTGATAATTATATTCACATAGCAATTTAATTCTATTGCATTACATTTTAATTGTATTAAAAGTACTCAATAATGCTCTTTAAAAAAAATATTTCCTTGACCTTTTTCATTAGACTCTTATATCTTAAACGTTTTATGAATTCACACATTGCATCCTTGAAGATGATTTCTTTCAAAATATATTATTTCCGTGCCTTTAAACGAGGTATAGATATTTTTTCGTATTTTATATTTATTTTTTGTTTGAAAAAAATAGAATGTGTAAAGAAGTCATTTTACACCTCTTGATGGATCACTTAAACAAAATTTGATATCAAACGGAAGATGTGCTAATTAATGAAAGATTGAAAATTGAATCAATTGAAAAAAGTTAGAAATATAAGTGCTACAATGAGTGACTATAAGAATTCTGATGTGAAGGATTTTGCTAAATATATATCAAGATTTACATAATCGATTATATATCTCATGATACTTTACCATTTGTCAATTTAAAATATAATTAACTTTTTCATTCAATTTTTTTCCTCTACTTCGTATTATGTAATTCATTATGTACAATTTTTTCATGTACAGGTAGAAAATCGGATGATGCGAATATGATTGCCTATAAATATAAATAGAATACAATCATCCGAATTTTTACTCTCACATCACGCGACAATCATCCAATAATGGAATAAATATTATTGATTAATAAAGTGTTGTTTGATTTTAAATAACAATCACTTTCAAATTAAAAAAGATTACTAATCTACAAACAAATTTAAAGAATAGTCAAACATATAATTGATAATTCTAGTCTGTTGAAAACATTGGCTGGATCGATTACGTGGAGTGATCCGACTAATATAATTCATCCCCAGTGAAATTACAAACACAGTTTAGATGACTCTAAATAATATGTTAAATGAAATGTGAAATGAAATGATTTATTTAATTTCACATATCATTTAATGTCACATTAACACCATCTAAATTGTGTTTGTAACCTCAGTGAAGATGATTAAGATCCTGTTCCACTTGTAACAAAGAACAAGAAAATCCAACTCTATAATTACCTGGATTTCTTTATGTTTTCTCCTATTTTTGGTTAAATAATATTTATAGGGAACCTTTTTCTTCATTCTTTCTTGGGGAGAGAGAGAGAGAGGAAAGAGAGACCAAAAAGGAGGAGAGCTGTAATCACATGGGTGCTGTTTTCTTGATGGGTCCTCTCTGTTTTTCTCTCTCTCTCTAATTCTTTTCTTACCGACAATCACGAACAAGCCATAAAAGAAAAACCTAATCAAAAGCTAAATTCTTCTTCTTCTCCTTATGGTTTGATTCCGCGTCGGAAATTTATTTCATCAGTATTACTATTATGGCCGACGATAAGGTAATAATTTATGAGGCTTTTCGTTTTCTATAATTCCTATAAAAAGATTGCATTTTTTTTTCTGGGTCGTGTTTATTTAGGAGAAAATTCTGAAAAAAAATAGCTAAAATAGTTTTTTCTGTTAATTTTTTTCCTCTTTGCTTGGATGTGTTATAGGGGAAGAATTGAAAAGAAATAGCCTTTCTTAATGTGTATTTTTCGAATTCTGGTAAACGAAATCTTTTTTAGTTTTTGTAAAATTAGATTGGATGCAAAATGAAACCCCTTTTAACAAATTGAGCATTATATACTATTATATTATAAATTGTGTCATATTAGATTCTCCTTGTTCCTCAAGATTTCATGGATTTTTGATGATTTTTTTCCTTGACTTTTTAATTTTTTCGATAGAGCTGAACCGCTTCTGGCTTAGATTTCGGGTAGCAGATCAGGGACTAGATTAGGAGTTTGGTTATTTTTTTCTGCTTCTTGATTCATGATCTGATCTTAATTGAACAATTCGTCATACCTTAATCCTGGTTCTCACGAGGGATGATGAGATCTGGAGTGCGTGTCAAGGTTGCTAGTGCTTATCCTTGGGTAATATCACAAGATAATCTATGATACTTCCTCTGATTGATTCTTGAATTAAGTTAAAATAAATTAAAAATCTTGATCTATTGCGAGCATTAAGGAATTTTGTTTGTTTCCCTAGTTATATGGTTCTGAAATCATATTTATTGAACTAATTCTAAGTTGTTCAAATGCTGTTCTACTCTGCCATAAATTGTTCTTGTTTAATATAATTGCTGTTGTAGGAGATGGCTGATCTTGTAATGGACGGGAATGGTGCTGTCACTGGTCACATAATTTCCACAACAATTGGGGGTAAAAATGGAGAACCCAAGCAGGTAAAACCACTTCTTGAATGCTTGTGATCTTGGTGATTCACAATTCATGTATTTGTCTATGCAAGTGAATATTGATATGCACTTTTGAGCTTGCTCAAACAAAAGGGAAAAATAAAGGGAAAATGAGGTGAAATCTAATTGGTATTGGATGATTCTTCATGCAGACAGTAAGTTATATGGCCGAGCGAGTGGTGGGGACTGGTTCATTTGGAATTGTGTTTCAGGTATATCTATATAAATTTGTTGCTATTTTGGTCATTCTAACATTTTTATCGAACTAATTTTACTAATTTTTTGCTTAACATAGGCAAAATGCCTGGAAACTGGGGAGACTGTGGCTATTAAGAAGGTCTTGCAAGATAGAAGATACAAGAACCGTGAACTGCAGTTAATGAGGACTATGGATCATCCAAATGTTGTTTCTTTGAAGCATTGTTTCTTTTCAACTACGAGCAAAGATGAGCTTTTTCTCAATTTAGTTATGGAATATGTGCCAGAAACAATGTATAAGGTCGTGAAGCACTATAGCAACACAAACCAGAGAATGCCCCTCATCTACGTGAAACTTTATACATACCAAGTATGTGTAGAACTTCATTATTAGCTATTCCTAATATCCATATCATTTCAACATCATAATTAGGAAATGTATTGTAGATTTTCAGGGGGCTGGCTTACATGCATACTGTTGCTGGAGTATGTCACAGAGATTTGAAGCCTCAAAATGTCCTGGTAAGCATTTAATAGTAATTTAAAATTTATAAATTGAGTTGAAAAGTTGAGTCTGTTTAGTAATATTATTTGTTATTTTATTACAGGTTAACCCTCTTACTCATCAGGTTAAAATATGTGATTTTGGAAGTGCAAAAGTACTAGTAAGTGAAACTCTTTCCTGTTCCTGTTCCTGTTCCTAATCTATTTGTTTCCATGAACATCTACATATGATTTATTAGCATTTTCCAAGTTTTCCCTCTGTTGATCTTGTTAGGGAGATTGCAATTACTTGTAGTTTCTTCATGTTTCATGTTAGTTTTATTGTTTGAGGTGCTGCCACAAGTTATTTTCTTTAATGCTACCATCGTGCGGCCGACAACCTGTTCTTACATTTTATATTGTAAAGTATTTGTTAAAAACTACTCCCCTCAAATAGTCCATCTGCTACTTTATTTTCAATTTTAAAAAATGATGATTGTGCTTGG